TTTTCCTTTACGTGTCCTGCTCATCTATATCTATTCTCATTTATTTTCAAACTTTAGAAATTTCAATACTAAAAGACTGGTATTTTTACATCTAAATACATGTCAATTGAATATAAATAGAAATCTCTGTAACATTATATAACATACATTATAACAAGAACTATCGCCTGCTAAGAACTTCATGCAAACAAATAACCAGTTGAGGTTAGACTAAGTATTGTATGGAGTAGAATCTCAAAAATAGCTTAGAATCGTGAAATGAGCGAAATAGCTATGATACAAATGGTTCAGGATGCTGGCGGTGACTCGAGAGTGCTTTCCACCCGTGGCTTGGTCCGATTCCAGATCCCCGCCGCCACCCCGTATAGCAATCCGTCGATGAGACGCAAATCTTCCGGTTGTAGATGATGCATACTGATAAGATTCTCGTGGAATATGGATGGTCCCTGAAAACAACATTGTGCTACATAGATCTCGTACGATTAGAGCAGTGGCAGTAGTCATAAGTGTGCTGTTAATGAGATGAGATCTTAGCAAAATCTGCCCCCAAACCAAACTTTTAACAGTTTCTGGTTGGTCCTCGATTGTCTGGAGAAATAAAGAACGTCCAGAACACCAACATGCTACAATTTCGGCTTTCGTAACCTTAGGAAGGGCATTTAGACTTTTCGAGCAAAACTGGAATCACCTCAACGGGACTTTCACCTAAACAAGGGGGAATGAGCTTCTTTGCATTAGCCGATTAAAAGGGCAGTAATCCCATCGTTTTTAAGACGATTATAGGTTTGCACAAATAGTCCTCGGAACGTCCCCCTCCTGTCCAAGGTTAAAAGCGCAGTTCCTCAGTTCCAGATCGTCAGCATGGGAGAGTACACGTACAAATAACGGCACGCTGTAAGATTGCTTAGTAATTAGAACCCTTTGGCTATAAGATGGGTAGGTCCACTATAGCAAAGAGTGTACCACTTTCGCCAAACGTTAATACACGGGCGGCGTAAGTTTCTGTCTTTTTGTAAATTGGCGGAGTGCGCCTGGAGAATAGCACACCGCCCTTTCGGATATTTTCTCGCCCTTCATTGTTGAGTTTCTCCTTTGCGCTCTCAATGCTTTGGACAATGCTCAAAAACGAAGTCTATATCTGCTCAAAAGAAGAGATGTTCTCAGGTACGGCTTCAAACGCAGCTGCGAGCGTCCGTAAGAAACAGAGACATTAAATTATACGTTTACACTACCCAGCATTCCAGAAATGTGCGTAAATAAGTGCTGAGACCACGACTGCACACATTATTCCCATTTCGGGCCTGCCCTATACCGTCACGCTACGGGTCGGGAGGAGGTTTTTGTCGTTCCCGCTTTTCGGCATTACTCGGGAGCTCCATTCTTGCACGTTTGCGCGCTGCCTAGGGTTTCTGTACACCCCTGTTTTTCTGGACCTATGAACAAGTTAAAGATGCATGTATAAGAAGGGAAGGTCGGTACGGGAACTGAAGCTGGGCGCTCTTTTCTACCTTCCGATTTAGACTATAGCTGCTGTCTTGTGCTTCTTTCCCCACTAGCGCTACAGACTTATGTATTAGGTTGATAAGAGCGTGGAGGCGGCCGACGACTGTTGGTTGAGTACACCCAAGTCTTGTCGCAGACTGCGGGTGCTGAGTTCCGGATCCTCCTTGACGGCGTCGAGAATGGCGAAGTCGTCGACTGTGTGGGGGCGTCCCGACCGAGGCTTATCTTCGAAGTTCGTGTCTCCTTCTTCGAAGCGAGCGAACCAGCGCTTGACCGTGCTAAGAGAAGTGGTGCCCTCTCCCAATGTGCTGTTGATGTTTTGAACGGTTGCCGTCGCTCCGGTCCCGCGAAGCCATTCGTAGTAGATGACGTGTCGAATTAGCTCTTGTGTGATTGCCATCGTGATTAAAGCTATAGGAAGCAGCCCAGCTTTATATACCCATTATGGAGAAGGTTCGAGAATGTTCTACAACTACCACTTGCTTGGTCATCGATATCGACCAAGATTCCAAAGTTCTCGAAATTTCAAAAAATTGGGTCATCTTTTTTTATCACCCTAATATATTAAAATTCATTGACTCGCACTCGGTTACTATTGTATACAGTATGCCTTTAAACACCTCAAGTATCTCGACTAGAATTCGCAGGCATGGCGCATTCATTGGAGGAACGCGACTGGTAGGCTTTAGAAAAGAGATTAGAAGAACAGTTGCCCTACCCAGTGCTCGATAGGATCCATGAGGAACGATTTGGTCAGATCAGCATGATAATGATATTCAGGTTTCCATGGAAGAAATCTTTGTCGGTGCTTTTCATCCCGGCTATCCACTGGATAAATGCCTATGCTCGCTAGACATCTGCAGTAAACAGACATTACACATACATTGGTACGATACTTTCTAATAAGTGACCGTTTCCGGAACAATCTTGATCGCTGAGAAATTGAAATATTACCTGGCCACAGCGAGATCTTCCCACTCATGGTATGGACACAGCGATTTCATATGAAATAGTTGCTCGGCAAAAATTTTCATGGCCTCTCGGCTCATCGCATACCCGCTTCCACCGGCGTTATACCCATGATGTGGCTAAAAAGCAGAACATATTAAGGAACAGAAAGTGAAGATTTCTGATTATCAGAAGAAACTCTAAAAGAAACAATAGAGGATAGGCGCTGTTCGTCTTAGGAGAGGCATTTTGCACTTTCACTAGTTCCTTTTGCTGGTTTAATAACAAGTTACATTTTGGTGAAGCCTGTGTCAACTCGTGTGAAGGTGCGAAATGGCATGAACAGGTCTCTTCGATAGCAGGGATTTACAGCTCTGCACAAGGCGACCACCTTGACTAGCTTCCCTGAGTACTTTGGCGCCTCCACCAAGCCGAACTGTGCCAACACCAATATTTTTAGCTGTCCTCTGAGATTGCAACCATCGAAATTTTGGGAAAAAAATCTATAAGAATATTTATTAACCATTCTCCTTTTCAGCCTGAACCCAATGTAATGCGGCTCATTTGGATTGAACGTTGCCAAATACTTTCGAAGGTTATCCACGACCACATACGTGTCATCGTCCGATTTGTAGTACCTAGAAGAAACCAAGTAAAGACAGACAAAACGGAGGTAGCATTTATTCGCTGCGCAACGCGACCGTACGCTTGACAACTTGCATGCTCCAGATCTCCGAGGTGCCATGGGCGTGGCAACGTACTTCACTTGAACATGGAGGTGGCTTCCCTTATGGTGGGATATTTTCATTTGGGACAATTGCAACCATGCCTCTGACCAACGCAGCACAAGATGACAACTGTCTTAAACTGAAATGTCCCACA